GCGGCCGGGGAGAGGGGGAGGCTCCGGCGGAGGCTGCGCCGCGGGGACACAGTGCCGCTCGCCGTCCGGCCGGGGAAGAACAGCCCGGGAGGAGGCTCCGCTCGGCGCCGCGCCGCCCTCCTCCCCCCTGCCCGTCCGCCCGCCCTCAGGCCCCAGGGCCGGGCCCGCAGCGCCGCCCAGCCAGGATCCCCCAGCCCCAGCCCCGGGGCGAGGGGCGAGGCCGGCCAGTAAGTCTCGTAGCCCGCCGAGCCCCGCTCAGGGCGGCGGCGGGCAGTACCGGGCACGGCCGCCGCAGCGCTGCCTCCCGCTTGGCGCCAAAACCCCCGGAGCGGCCGGGCCGCGGCCTGAGGGTCCGCTCTCCGGCCGGGCCCCGACCCCGCGGGACTCTCCTCACGGGGCAACGGCCGGCTGTGAGGGCGAGGCCTGGGCGGCGTGGGGCCGGCTGCCGGCATTGCCGGGGAGGGGGCTGGTGTGTTGCCGGCGGCAGGGCGGTGTGCGGGGAAGGAGGGAGCGACATGTTTGTGCTTCCTGAGGGAGCCGGGCCGCCCATGGCTGCGCGGGCTCGGCCGGTCCCTCGGGCAGCCGGTGCCGGTGGTGAGGCCTGGTCGGCGCGATGGATAAGAAAATGGGGGGTGGAGGAGGGAAACGGTGCGTGGGGTGGCCGGGAGGGTGCTGTGGAAAATCGGGGTAAATAGCCCGTCTTCAGAGAGATGAGGCGGGAAGAGCAGCATCCACGCAACCACCGTCCAAATTTTTCTTCCTCCCTTGTTGGCAGATGAGTTTCTCAAACGCTAATTTAGTTATAAATCTTCAGGAGCAACTCGAGATGTGCAGACTGAAGGAGCCCTCGCCAGCCGACTCAGGAAATCCTTCCATGCAAAATGTCTTTGTAATTTAATATTCTTTCATATTTCCCAGAGATGGGGTATGTCTGGAAAGTCGGCAGCAAAGTGGGATATATCTGTCTGTTCTGAATCTGCATTATGTGCTCTGCATGTCTTAAGTATAGGTGGCTAGAAAGCATTTTCCAGATGCCCGCCCTGCTCACAGAAGGTGCGTGACGACTGAGAGGTGACTTTTACCTGATCAAGACTAATTCAGGGCCTTCAATTGCCTGTTACTTGAACTAGCTAGAAGTATAATTCTTCTCAGTTTTGGAAATCTCTGGTGTGTTTTCTCTAGAGAAAATTAAAGGCCAGGACCAGTCTGTGTGGAGGAATAGGTTTCTCCATATGAGTGTGCAACTGGGGCCTTGCTGGGCACAGCAGGAAGGATGTAGGAGTGTGAGTGGATGAGAAAGGGGTAGGTAAGTGAGTTTATGGTGAAGTATGCCAAATTGCAGATTTACAAAGACTGAGGAGCTCTCAGGTACTTCTGGTGTAATGGCATGTGGGTAGGAGATCGCTCTCCTATGCCTGTGTCCCTTGTCTCCCTGCTGTGTTGTCCTTGGGGAGTTGAAGTCTTGAATGTCCAGAGCCTCTATGAAACCAGCTCAGAAGGATTGTAGTGAAAATGATTGAGAGTTGCAAGGAACACCTTGGACACTGATTTGGAATCTAGAAGGGTGCCGCCAGACAAGGCGTTTAAATCTGGCTCCGAGTCCAGGCTTAGATAAAATTATTCTCTCCAGGTTTAAGGATCAATGGATTGGGGCATTCATGATGGACAGGGGACTATAAGAGTGGGATACGTTATTCAGTTTTAACAAGGTTGTACTGATCTAATAAACAAATAAAGCCAACACCAAGCATTTAATCTTTTTCCTTAATCCAAACTTCAGTGGCCGTTTAGATTTGCCTTAGAGCTGAAGCATTCAGACTAGCTATCAACTCTTATTTCCTGTCAATAAAATAATATGTACTATCAGAACTATTATACTTTTAACAAATTCAGGAAGGGTTTATCCTTATATTTGTTACAACAGGTACTTTTCTTCCCAAATCAAATGGCTAATATAAGTAATTAATTTGGTATAGATTCCTTATTTTTAATGCACTTGCATTAACATAATAACTCAGAAACAAATCCTAGAAGATTATCCTGTAACTAAAAAAAAAAAGAAAGTATGTATCAAAAACCTATATGAGCTGTCTTCAATTTTAACAGAAAAAATAAGAGAATGTAAGTTAGTAAAAGTTACGCAAGAAATACATTTGAATTTTTTTTTTTTAAATCCTCTCTGCTGAGTTTTTTTAGGACCCAAGCATAAAGCTAGGAAGTTGTTAGGCAGGCTTCTCTTTGGGCAGAATTGAAGTAGTATGGCTACCATATTGTAGAAATTTCACTTAAGTCTCTGAACTTCCTGGATTTTAATGTTTATTTTCAAGTATTGTTTTATTTTTTATTGGAAAGCCATACTTTGTGTATCATTAATGTGACTTGCAATGTCATAACTTTTTTTGTGGTCTTGTGATTACAAGTTTTTCACAAAATGACACCATCTTTACCTAGAATTTTTTATACAACAGGCCGTGAAGTAGGAATAAGAATGAAAAGACTGAGGGCTGCGCTTCCACAACTTGTTTTTAGTCTAAATTAAGGACAAACAGTGCAGAGCCTTAGCATGCACTTCTAGTCACTCATTTTCAACTGAAGATAAACTCTTGTGTTTTGAGGTGTATGTGCACTGTAACTAACATGTAGTTTAGATGTGGCAGTTCAAAGATTTCACTTGAAAGTGCCAGGCAAAGCTTGTTCATTCAATTTTATTTGAATATTTATTTGAATTTTATTTCAGTTAGAGCAAGTTGTTTGTGAAGCCTGACACTGGAGTACCCTTGGTTGTGGACCAAGATCTCTATCTTCTTGCAGACTTCAGATAAATGGTGAAGTTAGCTATTATTGTGGAGTAAAGCTTGAAGATTTTTTTTAATTCTCAGGATTTCTTATCTGTAGTATATCACCGAAAAAGTTCTGAAGTACATCAGTGGAAAGCTGGAGGAGGTTCACACTGGATTTCTGCTTTCACAGGCAGTGATTAGTCACCTGTATGAAAACTTTGACCACCCCTCAGCATCAATGTTGTTGGAGTCTTTAGGCGTTAAATGTAGGGACAGTTTCTATGGGTAGACTGTTCCATTCCTGGTGTAGTTTGCTGTCTGACTGTAGGTTCTGGTATCAACACAACCTTGCTGACATACCCTAGGTCCGCAGCTGGAGTATTTTGCCAGCATATTGGTGTAGAACCATAAGAGCACTCTTAGGATCGCCATTAATTTAGACGCTGTTAGTCAGATAAATTGTGTTTTGAACGAGTCTTAGACAAATCATGATCAGCACAGTGGTTGGGAGAGTAGGTGCAAATTCTGTAATCATGGGATGATTAGGCAATGGAAGCAGCAGGATTGGTACTTCTGCACCATTTGAAATTCTAAAGGGCTAAAACAAAGCGTGTGGTTCTGATATCACACCCAATTAAGGGAGGTATGAATGAACACTTAACTGCCAATTAGCTTGAATATATGCATGGCATTTTCAGAATGTGCAAACATAAAAGCTTCGGATAATCTGACCTGTGGTACTCTTAATCTGAATAGTCCTGAAATCTGCTCGCAGATATGATTACAGCTGCTGGTGTCTGGTTTGTTGCCTTTGCTTGTTTGACCTTCACCCTTCTAATTTCAGCAGGCAGCTGAGATCCGACTTGGACTCTGCTTCTTGTACAGCTGTAGCCAGGTTCACATGATCCCTTGGATTTTAATGGATGACTCTGTCTAATAATAAGACCCAGACCTTTTAGTATTTACCCAGATTTTATTGAGTCCCTACCTGGACAAATTTGTGTAGGAATTTATTTACTTTTGCTCTCATTGTTTTTATTGGAATGTATTTACTCCAATCCATTTGGTGTGTGTTTGTTTGTTTATTAATATATTTTAGGCTACCACTACAAGTGTAATTTATAAGCAGGCTGAAGTAAAGGGTGCTGAGCACTCTTATGGGACAGTCTTGTGGGGTGCTGCTTTCTCTCTGTCATGCTAGGAGAGGTTAGAGGAAAGTACCAAGAAAAGAAGAACATTGTGTTTTACTGGTAGGGGAAATAATGCAGCACAAGATTTTCAGAACGAAACGGCTTTCAGGTGAAACAAAAGAGAGTATGGAGTGATTACTTTAAGCACAGAAAATCCCTTAATTCATGTTGATTAAATTAAGCTATGCGCAGGTGTTTCTAGGAACAGATTAATGGTTGTCCTCAGGTACATCCTTAGCACAGTAAGTGTGGATAGTAATAATGATCAAGAATTAGTCGTATCAAGACACAAAAGTGTGTTGTGGACTGCAGAATAAGTCATACCTGTCAGTCAACTGGGCAGACAAGTAAGAAATCCTATCTGGTGGGTTAGGAAAGCACTAAAGCACTTGTCTTCCTAATAATAGCTATGCTCTTGAAAGCTCCTGCTTTGCAAAACCAGGTGGTGGAGTGTGGTCCTTTACTACTAATTTTTTTTAGTTGCAGTCAAATAGGGCAAGAGAGGGGGAAAAAAAGCTTAATTACTTGTTTTCAACTCCAGCATTTAGCCAGTTTTTGGTATGTAGCAGGTTGCTTTCTGGCAGGTTGCTTCCTAATCATGAATGCTTCCCCCTCTCCCCTTATGAAAGCCTATTTATTTTTTCGATTATACATTTTTTTTTTTTCCTGCAATACAACAGTTCTTCTGAACTCAGTAAGAATCAAACCCTGGATAATAGGTTTTTGTCCTCACTTTTGCACAGAAGCTTTCTCTCTTCGCTTTTTGACTTTGATATTAGTCCTTTTTTCTGGTCATCTTTCCTCTTTGTCCGTCTGTTTCTCTCACATGTTCAGTCACGCACAGCTCTTCCAGTTAAAAGTATAGCCTCTGACTTTGCTGCACTGCAGCCTCAGTGATATCCGGGAGATTTCTAATTAAACTTTGCAGCGTAACATGTCTTTGATGACAGCACCTAATTGTTTGAACTACCTATTTTTATAAAAGAATTGACGTTTTCTACATCTGCTGTGAATTGAGAAGAGTGGTTACGCTCACCTGAGTCTAAAGTGGGTTTCTTTACAACATGCGTAGCCATAATGAAAGATCTCCAAAAGGTGTCCCATTCCAGGGGGTGTTTGGCAGTGAAATTACTTTCATCTAAGAATAAACCAGGAAGCATATTTTTGTCCTGAAAAGCAGGGACTTCTGTGTGTCTCCCATCATCTACACTGACAAAGCAAAATCCATGAAAAGGTGGAGGAGGACTTGTGTGCATGTATTATCTCATGAAGACAACCAGCTGGAGACAAAGAGGGGAGTCCCACGACTTGCTGACTTTTCCTGGAGCCACTTGTGAATAAAGGGAAGGACCAAATACTGTATGGATGATACATTCCTTTGAAACTGTTCCCTAGCTATAATCTGTCTAAATGCTATTTTCCTCTGGTTTTCTCCTGGGAAAGGAGGGCTTTCTTCTATGCTGTCTGAAAATGTCTTTATTCTGAGTCATAATTGGAGATCAGGCAGTTATACTTGCCACCGGACATTTGTGGTATCAAGGCACGTTGAGGAATGATGAGGATTGTCATTGTCAGCGTATTTAAGCCATTGTGAAAAAGTGTATACTTGAGAATCACTTGTCATTTACGAAATGCTGTATTGACAGAACAATTGCTTGTGTTTCCTTTGCTTGCAAGTGAAGTAAAATGAATTTATTGGCACCTGCCTATTGGTGATTTCATAGGAGAATTTTTAGAAGCCTCCTTGATCCGTTGCTAGTTGTGAGCATTCAGAAACTGAAGTCAGAGCAGCCTACTGCGTGTCATCCATCCACCTCCTTTCTAGCTGCTCTCTATTATGATGACTTGTCACCATTCACTCCGTAATTACATTCTCAAGGTTATTTCCATCTCTACTCCTGATGTGTCCAAAGCACATACATTTACACCTATTCATTTCTGACAACCAAGTCTACTTTTCTCCAATAATATATTTAATATGAGCATTTATCATCTTTTCTGTCCAGGAGATATGTAAGCGTCTTTGCTTGCACCACATCTCAAAAGCTTCAATTTTCTTTCTGTCACTATCAATAACTTCTCAGAAGTCACATTCAAAAGTTGCTACCAGCAAAAAATTAAGCATTTCACTAGTCAAATCTTTCTATTTTTTGAGGTGAGATGTTGGGTTTTTTTCAGGCTTTTGTAAGGGAAGCCATAGATGGATGAACCATCTTCAAATTTTTCCAGTTTCTATTGAACGGGTTCTGATTGGATAAATCTGATCCCAGGTAAATGAATTTACCAACAGTCTCTGTAGCTAGACCCTTAAGCTTGAAGTTAGCATATATTCTATATTAAGTGAAGTTACTTTAATTATAGCACACTCAAGAATAGCCTGTATTTTTCATTGGCTCTGTGATACTTGCTGCACAGCAGAAGTGGTTGTGACGAAGAGCATTATGTCATTAGCCTAAGGTCACCTATAAAGGACTCCATTTCAAATTCAACTTTTCCGTTGAGTAAACTCTTTCCCAGTTTGATTTTTTTTTCCCAGCCAGCCTACAAGGAAATCTGCAGTTACCCGCAGTTGTAATAGTAACATATGGCTCTTTAAGTTTGCTTGGTGCTTTTTTCAAATAATAAGGCAGATTTGGGGAATTTCTGAGTGTATGGGACTGCTTAGAGGAAATACCACTGAGGAAATTGAGAAAGTTTGGTAATATATTTAGCCCATGGCAGCTACTGACTGGAGGGAAGACAGTATGAGCAGAGTCTCTCCCTCTACCCCGCAAAATGAGAACCATCCTATGATCTAGTAAAAAATGAGAACGCGTGGTACTAACAAATTCTGATTGAGAGACTCTTTAGTAAAAAGTATTGATTTTATTTGTGATGCTGCTGTTCCTGATTCTTTCACAGGTATATTGTCTGCTGCTGGCAGTAAAGAAAAGAATGATGTGAAACTTTACAAATGAATATGAACTTGGAATTTATGGTCAAAGAAAGATGTTTGATGAATGGACGTGCAGTCTCAGAGCTGTACGGTAATGATGGGGTCATTTCATGGTGATGGATAGGTATGTGGTGTACTATTACAAAGGCTTAAAAAGGGGTTGCATTTGTCAAACTTGGGGAGGCGTCAAAGGGTTTGGGTATGACTCTGTGAGCAATAGAATCATTACAATTTGCCTTTGAACAAAGTCAGGAAATATATTGATCCTATAGCTTTATGCTGCTGGGAAAGCAACTAATGATGATTCAGTCGATGTGTTTTGTGAATGGCTTGAGGGGATAATCATTAAAACATGACACCACCGTGCCATTTGGGAACTTGAATATGAAAGTTGGAATTTCAAACCCTTGTAGAGAACAATTTGTATTTGAATTTAAAAAATAAAATTACTTCTTTGGATTGTGCAGCTCTGGACACTTTATCCTTACAATTCTACTTCAGTAAACATATTGGATGTTTGTGTCCACGCATCAGCCAGCATGAGAGAGGAGCACGCTGACAGCACAGTGAGCAAGCAGCAGGGAATACTGAGTATCAGTGGAAGAGGATTTTCCTAAATTCAGGATATGTGGCTGCAGAGAAGGTAACTAAGGTTATTTGAGCCAGTACTTCAATGAGTATTTAACAAAGCGGACAAGGAATTGGTGTCTAAAGAGAGGACTGAGTATTATGAGGTATTGAGCAGACAAAGCCAGAAGTAGGCTAGACAAGGCAAGAGCAAATATAGAGATGAGAAAAGCGTAGTCTTGACAAACATGAACACCTAGTAACACAAAAGCTGTGTTCACAATAGTCAGATTTTGAACAGAAAATTCTCCTTGATCGAATATAAAAAAGTCCACCATGGTAGAGTGATTGCTGAAGGTGGTGATATTAAATGCCAGCAGAGGGATTACTGCTTGTAAAGTAGACTGATATGTATCCACTTACAATTTCACCAACATCTAATACCACTATTTATATCCTATCAGAATTTGGCAAGGCAGCTCATGTGTAGTCTGTGTAATATACTATAACTACACTGTATCAAGCACATAAACACTTGCTTTCTTAAGTATATCTGTACTGTTCTTTTTATCTTCCAGACACTACATAATTATACCTAATCATTTATGTTTTCAGGGAACGGCATGCTAAAATTGTAAACTTCCTTTATCTGAGACCATTAAAAGGCAGACAGAGACTTCTAGCCAACATTGGAACTTAAAAGTCACTACTTTAGATGTACTAATTTTTTGCTTACAGAATGCCATTCATCTATATTTAATCAATATTTTTTAAACTTCCTTCAAGATCTGCTCAGCCGCCACCTCTAATCTAGCATGTAGGGAAGAAAACTTGAGGGAACCATTTTTTTCATCCATTTTCAGTATCACATAGCTTCAAACTAGCTGTGTGTGCATTCTTAGGCTGGTATCCTTCCTTCAAAAACTGTAACAATACGTTCTCTCACACAGTGTCATAGTAAAAAGAAATTAAATGAAAAAAAAATATGTTGACAAGTCTATCGGATTCTGAATATAATGAGAGAACAAAACAATGTTATTTTCAGGGGAGAAAAACTTTATCTAGCAATAGGTCCTTAAACCCCCTAAGGAAGCAGCTTATTATAGCAAGTAAGAAATAACAGTAAAGGAAGTACACAAATGCTGACAGCATCTGTGAATAAATAAAAAAAGGGGGGGAGAAGGGGGTTTTATAGTTTCCTGAATTTAAGCAAATTTGCAGTTATATTTACTCTGTTGTACCAAACCCTTATTTTGGTGTTTGTGTTCCTTTCTAAAAGGCTTGTCCCTTGGCCCACTGCCGGATACGAGAAATGGGAACACAAGAAAAAGGTATGAATGAACAGGAGAAATGGGAAGGAGCAAAGATGAGCACATGTGGTAGAGAATCTGCAGCTGGCTGAATATTAGGGAGTTTCACGTGAGCAAACAAAAAACGCAGAGATAGAAGGTGAAATAAATATCCCTGAGTGAATCACAAGTACATTTTAAATATCATTATTTGTCATCAGTAAGTACAATCTTGCCAAATTCAAGACAAACTGGAGAAGCCAAATTCTGAGAACAATATGATTAAATGTTCTGTTATATATCTTAAAACTAGTTACACCTACAGTTCATATTTACTTAATATAAAGGCTCCTTTTGAATTCGATTTTGGCTTTGCCTATTCAGAAGCTACAAAAATAAACTTCTGAAACTAGCTGAACAAACTTGCAAGAAGATTTTTAAAAAACAGGGCATACTATTAAAACTCAAAAGTGAGGTTGTGGATTTCTTTTCAGCCTGTTTACATAGGAAGAGGAGTTTCAGGTCAACTGGAGAGCTACATCAAAATATATTGGGAGCTTTTGTTTCTGTGTGTGTATGTCCAGCCTGCTGTTTTGATGCTGCTTTGATTAGTAAATGGGGAAGAACATAAATGTGTCAGTGGCTGCAGTCGCACTCGGGAGTGACACAACCTGCCCTCCACAAAGGGGTGAGTGAACCTGACAGTTTAGAATGTTGACAGGTAAACGAAACAAGCTTAAATTATGGAAGTGCTTTTTGGTTTATATTTTAATCCTAATAACAGGTTTAAACATAATCCAGATAGGGATTTACTTGTATGTGCCTTTGATCTCTGCTGAATTTGAAAAGTAGATGTGTAACCAGCAACAATTAGGAGAGTCCCAAAACATTTGCCTTTAAGAGTCATCAGAGTCACAAATTGCATAATGCTGCTGAGGAAAATAATTACCAACATGTGTATGGATGAGGGGAAAATTGGCAATTTGTTCTTCTGCTGAGTATTTAACCTTTTCACTTTCTACTCTTCAGTACTGTGTAGAATATGCAGTTTATTTTTTGTATGTGGAAAATAGACATGTTCGTAACAAACCCTGATGTAAAGATAAAATTCTTACTTGGTTTTGCGATACGCATTGTTCTGTCCTAACAATCACCACAGCACAGAAGAAGAGATCATAGCTCAGAAATTGAAGAGCTCCATAGAAAATACGGAGTTCTCACGTTTCAATGTTCTTTTGAGTTAATGTGTTCTTTCTTCCAGGTTTTGGGGAATGTAAACAGAGGAATAAAGTAATTGAAAGAGTTGAGTGTTTGATCATCTATTTGAAGAAAGCTTAAACATGTTTTCATGCTGGTTGTATCAACTGTTTTGGGTTTTGTTTTTGGTTTTGTTTTTATTTGTAACAAGTTGTCTTTTACAGATGGGCCCAGATCCAAATGACACCACCTCTCCTCCATCCTGAATTGTGTGTGTGAGCTAAATCTGGTTACAGATACCAATCTGAGTATCATGAGCTAGGGCAGGGTGGAGTGGAGCTTGTCTTCAGATCTGACTCCCTTGTTCTCTGTACTTGGAATTGGCATGAATTTGGCAGGTCTGAGATAACTGATGTTTACCTAGTCCTCAAATAAATAAATCTGAAACTGCAGACTGCCCTCTGTAAGGAGTGGCTGTCATTTTAGGTCTCTGAAACCCTAAAATGGCCCTTAGCTGCCTGCAGCTTTCTAAATATGAGCTTCTTTTGTTGCTAGTGTTATTCACTGGGAAAGAATGTGGCCCCATTTACAGTGACAGAGGGTGTGAAATGTTAAAAAGTAGAAGTGATAGGTGGATTTTACAGTGAACAAAAAAGAAAAAAAAGGGTCAGAATTTACAGGAAAGCAAAGGAAGGCCCTATTCCCCTTTCAGCAGGGACCAAATAGCCATGGAGCCGATTTCCTATCTAAATAATTAGGTTCTATCATGTGACAGTTACGAAGAATCACATAATGAACTAAGGATTTCCTTTTTTAAAAAAAAAAGTAGTCTATACAGCTGTTTTTAAATGCACATCACTCCCTGCTCCCTTCCCCCATCTCTTTGGCTTCTTGTTTCAGCATAAGACATGCAGCCTACAAGTTATTCAAGTTTAGAAACTAGACAGTGAAATTTAATTCATAAATGAGTGTTAGTGGGTTTAGACCATAACAACTTCCCTAATTTGTTTTTATAAGCAGCTGGAGTAATTTGCAGACGTTTGCAACAGAGGTCAAGCACAAGGGTTGCTGTAGCAGCCACTTATTGTGTAACAAACGTTGAGTGAGGAATATTGACACTAAGCAGGGTACCTGCAAGATACTTAGATACCATAGAACTTTGAAGCCATTGAGTTGTGATATCAGAAAATTTTGTAAAATACACAGGTCCGGATAGGATCTGTACTTGGATATAAGGCCTCTATGAAACTCTTGGGAAAAGAAATAAAATAGATTTTCATATTTTCTTTAATCTTCTATTAACTGAAGGTCAGTCACTGTGAGGTAAATGGGTTCATAAATCACTTATGATTGGCAAGCAATTAACTTGTGGTAAATGAATTGTACAGACAATGGAGTAGAGTCTGTCTTGACCGGTGAAAGCATTTGTGCATTCAAGTGACATTAATAGATGATTGAAACTTGCCTAAAATTCAGGCTTGTACATAACATTAAATCTACTTAGAAATGCAATTCTGCAGCGAGGTCCGATGTTCTAACATTTAAAAATTTCTGAATTGGAGCAAACAATAGACATCCCAAAACTTCCAGTAGAATGAAAATACCTTGTTTTATTTAGAATCACTGAAAAGTTTTAATGACTTTTTTCCCAGTATTTTAGTAAGGTGAAATGGACTGGTAACTTTCAACATCACGAAAGCCATAAAATATGAAAATATATAAACTAAAGCCAAAGTTTTAGTTGAAATAATATTCCGTAGTAGAAAGAAAACAGTAACTGATAGCTTTTTTTTACTTTTCTTTATAATGTTAAATTTACTTTTTCAATAAATTATTTATTTTCAGATATTTAATTCCTCATCTCCGCATGACTTGGTCACATTAAGTAAACTTGGGCATTAATATATTTGAGGAAATACATTACTTGAAGGAAAGCAGTTACTTCAGTCAGTACAGAATACTTCAGTATGATAAAATCTTAATATGTGCTAAGTAGTTGGTAGGTTTTACATGCTATTGTGGTGAAAGTAAACAGGTAGGAACATAAGATTATTTTAACCCTCTAATACATGCAATATAATATTGTTCCAAATGAAAGAAACAAACTCCTTTCCCTTTCTGCCTCTGCCCCATTTTTTCCCTAGGGAAGACAAAATCCAGTATGGGATGATTCGGAGTCAGTAGCTATCACTTATGTTAGGGACTTGACTCCGGGTAAGACATCCCAGGGAGAAGCTCAGCTGCCCAAGAAAATAAAATCCTTAAGACTCACTGCAAATTCTTGAATTATGTTAGTTCTGTCTTAACCTAGAAAATTGTATCCCAGTTCAGTATCAGTGCCCTTTTTCCTCAGCTGTGGATGTCCTCTTAACTGCTGCCTGAGGGCAGTTACCTCGCAGATTGGAAACCTGGACATTTTCTGTCCTGGGGCAGTTTTGCTCTTACAGCTCTGGCATTAGCAATGAATGGAGGCCATTAATGATACTGTTCCTTGGAAACGTTCTCTTTCTTGGTCAGCATACAACAATTGTTTTATAAAAAACAGTAAGTAAACTTTCACATCCTGGTCAAATTCCATTTGAGATAACAGCACCCTGCTTACAGAGTTCCTACAGTTTCAGCTGGACAGCATGCTGATGTCTGTTAACCTACTCATAGGTTACAAAAGTGTCAAACGTTATTATTATTTTTTTTTTTAAGCTTGGTCTAATTACTGCAGTGATATAAATGAAGTCTGATTTTTAAAATAATACAGATATGCAGTTTTACCGCTTGCCTTGTTCTTAGACCATGTCTTAAATACACTGACCTCTCAGATCTCTGATATTAAATTCGCTATGGGGTAGGATTAATGCCGTTTTTAAAAATAAAGGCAGTGATATTCAACAGATAAGAACATGGCAGTTACAATGAAAGTCAGCTTATTACTTTTTATCATGTGCCAAGGAGGCATATTAAGCATTGCTTGTTTTTCCTTTCTGCAGTTTAAACAGATCAGGATGAATTTTTGATATCCATCAAATTTGACTTATCTGATTGATAAAAACAGCATAGCAGAGAACATCCAATACAGGAATCAGATTCAGTACAAATCAGAACTGAAGTGTGAGCTTATTTCAAATTCAGAAGGTCCTTGGAGCAGGGAGGCTTTTATCAGCTATATAAGCATGATCTCATTCTGTGCCTGCAGAGAAGATACAATTAAGTATAATTCTTTACTTCTTGGATTACAGCATTTGTTGTTATCCTCTTTCCGCATCTCCTTTCCAAAAACCCAAGCATCTTTGTAGTTTGTAGATTCTGGTGATCTTTAGTATATCAGGTATAATAAATTTTATTTCTCTTCTGCAATATATCTGGAGTATATCAATAAAGTACAAATATGCTCCTATAGAATTCCTTTAAACAATAATTTGAAAATTTACAACTATTAACTTTCAGCAGTAATCTTATAAACTCATTTGATAGTTTACTGATGGGTAGGTGAATCAAAATACTGATTTGTTAAGTAACTTGTCAATTCATTAGTGATAATGCTGAAATTAGTGTGACCTGCTCACCTAAAAATGTGATCTTATTGAAACCAGCAGAATTTTTGCTATCATCTTCAGTGGGGCAAAAATTGCCCCATGATTTAGATTTTTGCTGTTTCTAAATACTATTTTTCCTCATTTAAAATAATGCTGAAATAGAAAAGGAAGTAACCCATTATTTTAATATAATAAATATATAGTTATATATATATATATATCAAAATATATAGTTATATAAATATAACTATATTATATAGTTAAAATATACTATTTGGAATGAAAGAAATGTATATGTGAATTAACTAACATTAC